AACACGATCTTAGTTGGCAAATGTATACTATTACAGAGAGGGCTTTGCTGTCAGTCTGGAAAGTCTCCTTGGGAAAGGATCAAAACATGGGAGCTCACAGGTAGATTCCAGTCCTTAAAACTGAAAATGCCCAATTTCATTTTGTGTAATGGGGTGTTCCAAATGGGGCTTAACTTATTGAGAACAGCTGTTCTCTTTCAGTAGACTACATTCAGTATTCATATTTACTTCAGTACAGGTGGCGGTCCTGTAATATAACATGATGTTTTATTTTTGCTCCAGGTTTCTCAAGGTACCTCGCAGCAGCATTGCTGTAGTTGACAAAGACACCCTCTACTTGACCACACCTTTTGACATCAAAACATTAAAATCTGACCAAGATGAGCCTCTTGATCAACGAGATGCTGTTGGGGGATTTATTATCCCCCTTCAGCCAGTCGTGCTTGGTGGCTGAGGAAAGCCTAGGATTCCCAGATGACTACCTGGAGGTGGCCGAGCCCCTCAGTTCGCATGGGTTCTCCAGCGACAAGGCTAAGGCAGTCTCCTTCAATTGGCTGGCTGTGGACAGTTTAGGCAGTGCCACAGGTAACAGCCAGGGTAAGGTGTTAATTTATTTCCTTGGGAGATATGCGAGTTCAATAGTTTGGGGTGTTTTTTGTTTGTTTGGTGTTTGTTTGTGTTTTTTTTTGTTTTGTGTTTTTTTTTGTTTTTTTTTTTCCCGTCCCCCCCCCCCCCCAAATGCCTCCCCTATTTTATATTGTGGCATCTTGAAGAGTTAAGTAAGCTAGCAGTATTCCAATCTGAAACTTAAATTTGTGTACAAGTTCTTTCAGTACAAGTAGCTAGGCATCACAGTTCATATGCCTCAGAAATGTATAATGTTGTGAAGCATGTACTCAGTCTTGATGCTGTTCTATAACTCAGATGCTGCAGTAGTAAGGTACATTGGGAGAGGGGGGCCACAAGAAATAAGAATGAGTTATAGTTTTCCTTCATTTGGCTTTTGGTTGTCTCTTCCTAAACTCGTCAAATCCTTTGTAGAGTTTGGAAGAGCCAGAAGCAGTTGAATATCATAAGGTAGCCTAGCAACTGTGCTGTATTCTGCAGTCCTCTGAGGTGGAAAAGCTTCATATGCCAATACCTCTGATCTGTTAATCTCAGAAAAATTTAGCTAAGAAAGGGAGTGGCTATAGAGAAAAATGTTCAAAATTCTGCTTTCAGAATTAACTACAAATTGGGAAGGCTCTAATTAGCATTTCATCTGCTGTACTGAAATGATGTGTATGCTTGTTTTGCAGAGGATGCCTTCTCAGGCATGGAGTGGATGGTGGAGAAGATGGATCTGAAGGAATTTGACTTTGATGCATTGTTAGGTATTGATGACATGGAAGCCACTGTCTCACCAGATGAGCTCATGGCCACGTTGGAAGACACGTGTGACCTATTTGACCCTCCCACCCAAGAAATTCACAGCAAAGAGCCTCCACTGGTATCTGACCCAATCGCTCATCTCCCTGAATCTCCAAATGCAAAAGATCAGGTGGCCCCATTCTCTCCCCTTTCTCTCCCTCTCTCCCCAGGGTCTCTGACCTCCACTCCAGACCATTCCTTTAGTTTAGATCTAGGCAGTGAAGTGGATGTCCTGGAAGGAGATGGAAAACCAGAAACCCCTACCACCAAGGTGGTCCCCAAGTGTGAAAGAGAGGAGGAATCCCCCTCTGATAATGATAGTGGAATATGCATGAGCCCAGAGTCCTATCCAGGAACACCCCAACACAGCTCCACCATGCCTGAGTCCCCCAACAACAGCCAGTTTCCCACAGTCCCTGTTTGTCAATCTGTGCGGTCCAAACCATATGATCATCCTGTAGAAAAGGTAGTGTCAGTCAAGGTGAAGGGAGAAAAGAAAATGGATAAGAAATTGAAGAAGATGGAGCAGAATAAGACAGCTGCAACACGTTACCGGCAGAAGAAAAGGGCTGAACAGGAGGCCCTATCTGGAGAGTGCAGAGAGCTGGAGCAGAAGAATCAGACCCTGAAAGAGAGAGCAGATTCTCTGAGCAAGGAAATCCAGTATTTGAAAGATTTGATTGAAGAGGTCCGCAAAGCCAAGGGCAAAAGAGCTAGAGTCCCAGAGTAGGGTAGTCAGGGTAGATGTTTTATGTGCCTGTATATAAGCATGGTGTTAATGCTGTGTATTGCTGCCTAATAAATTATTTTGTAGTAAGCTGACTTTGTGTCTATTTGAGGGGGAGGGAGTAAAGGTTGTCTCTGAATTTAGTTTGATAGGTAAACTAATGGGATTAGAAAGTAATGCTGTAGCATACTTGAGTTTCCAGTATTAAATATATACTGACTTTGCCCATTACTGATTTAGAACTCGGTGCAGTACGGGGTAGGTAAGGCCATGAATGTTGGGAAAGTGCTGGGTCTTGGGAAGCAAACCAGTACTTCCTGAGATCCGGCACTTTTCAATGCACCCGATAAATCTAGTCTTTGGGCTTTTAGTCTTTCCTTGATTCATTGGCTCAGAGCAAGAGAGAAATTGCCTAAAACTGGTAAATTTGCAAAATAAGATGAGTTTTTCCAATCCTAACAGTGCTCCAGTGAATTTTACCCTGCAAACAAATTTTACTGACAACACAGAGCAATACTTTAACTGTAAGGCATTTGTTACTAGTTGGAATATTCTTGAAATGTTTGGAGGTATGTAATGCTCAACGACAACTGATGTGTCTTGTCATTTCACATGTTAGTCATATCTGACAGCACTCCTAAAATGGGTTATGTTCAGAATTTCCTTTCATTTAACTAAAGGACATGAAAAAATCTACATGCTGGTTTGACTATAAGCAGTAGGGCTGTGCGAGGGTTTGGATGCTTTGGGGCAGCACATCTGGATCAAAGCGCTGGCCTCCTTGGGCTTCCTGAAGCGGTTTGGAGTGGCCTCAGAACCACGATCAGGCCATAGGGTAACGGGAAACAAATACCTATAACTTTGTTGGTTTTTGTCTGAGTTGGATGAAATTTTCTGGGGTGGTAGACTGCAGAGAGGATGAAGCCTGCCACGTTTCAAGAACAGTGCAGGGGTTTGGGGGGAACTTCCCCTGCAAGTTGCAGACAAGCAGAATGTGCTATTGGTGCTGTGGGACTGACTGTCTGGCTTGGGATGGGGAAGGGGGGGAGACTGCTGCAGGCCTGGCTGCTAAGCAGCCTTGTTCCCAGGTACCAATCAATCATGATTCACTCAGGGACTCCGGGACCAGCTCAATACACAGGATCTAGCTACTACATAACTTAAGGAGCATCAATTAGCACCTACAAAACCAGGCTAAGGAGAGGAAAGAATACAATCAACTGCCCCAAGATGGACAGTCTTGGCATAGTTTTGCCTGTCAGCAGCTAGGGGTGCAGGGCCCCAGATCTCCCTGCACCGATCTTGACAGCTGGCAGGTGTCATGGCCTCAGCAGAGGCCACCATCCCTGCAGCTGTTACCCTGCTGCACCTTAGCACACGCAGTATCACCCATAGCATGAGTTTTGCTTGTCTGCAGCTTGAGGTGCAGTTCCCCCCAAAGCCCTGCACTGATCTCCTTGAAACTTGGCAGGCTTTGTGGCCTCAGTAAGAGCTACCACCCGTGCAGTTTTGACACCCCCTCCCCCCATGGTGTAACACACAAATGTTACAGGAGTTTGGCTTTCAAGAATTTGGGGTACAGTTCCTCCCAAACCCCTGCACCGATCTTCTTGTAACTTGGCAGGTTTCATGCTCTCAGCAGAGGCTACCATCCCTGCAGTTTCATCCAAATCAGACGAAAAACAAAGTTATAGATATTTCATTGATTCCCCATTATACCCTATGGCCGGATCTCCAAGGCAGCTCTGAAGCTTCGGAGCCGCTTCGGCTGGATTGAGGCGGAAACCTGGTCCGGAGCTACAGATCAGATCGTGGCCATCCAAAGTGGCTGGATCAGATCACTGCAGACTCGCACAGGCCTAATAAGCAGATGTATGCATTTTATCAAGGGGTAGGATACTGAGATTTGGCTCAAACAGTGGTTCTCAAGGTTTTATTTAGACATCTTCATAATTTCAGTGAATTGAGTAGCACCCCATTTCAAAAACTTACTTATGATAGTACTTGCCTCTTTGCAGAGGGACCAGGCAGGTTTGCCTTGCTGCTTTGGCATCTTCTGAAGGATTTAATGGCATGCTGGTTGAGAATCATTGCAGTAAAGCAATTCTTGTGTTTTTTCCCCTTTCCTGCTTTGGGATGTAGTTGGATTGTCTTCCTATGATACACGTTCTATTTGGAGAGGAGACAGTCTAAACAGAATTTTTACTACTGAGAAGGTTAATAGCTCGCTACAAGCTAACTTTTGATTTAATGGTGGTATACTGGAACGCTGAATTGGATCTTGAGGCTGAAGGATCTTTTTTCCACTCTGCCTATGAGTAACAGTGGTAACATGGCCTAGATCAACTCCAGGTGAATCTGCCTGTCAAAACTTTCACTCATTTAAGGTGCTATTGTGTAATACTAATGCAGAACTGCTGCTGCATTTAAACCCATAAAACTAACATTAACATTTCTAGGTCAGGCATTGCAACAAGAAGATTGCGCAATCTGAAAAAAACACATAGTCCACGTGAGCCTTGGTAGAGCATGTCATTAGCTTGATACTGTATGCATTTGAGATTTTAATTACTTATGGGATTCCTCAAATGGAGCATTTGCACCTTGTGTTTTCAAGAAGCACAGTGATTCATATTAGGATAAGTAGAATGGGAAATTGTATGTGCCTGGGAGGGAGGGAGGGGGTAAAGAGAACTCAACTAAACTGACTTCACACTTCAGTACATAATCTGTTTGTACAATTTAGATTTGCTAATAAATTAACGCATTGAGGAGGATTTGGTCCTTAATTAGGCTAAAATAATTAGGCACAGGCAACTAAAGAATGCAAGAAAATGCAGTTTGTGAAGAAGACTGAGGGAGAAGAGGAATGGAGGGGTTACTAATGAGCTAAGGAACTTTTCACTTCCCTTCTAAGTTACCACCTCTTTCTTCTCTGGGTCCAAAATGGACAAAATCAGCCCTCTTGGCTTTCCTAAGGGCATTATACACAGAGGCAGAGGATCATCGCAATCCAGCTACTGAAATGTCCAGAACCAGAGGTCAGTATACTATGGAGAAAAGCTTGCTGCAAAGGAGGAGTTTTCATTTTTTGTTTTTGATTTAAACAACAGGTAAAAAAATCTAGTAAGCACAGCTCTTATTTTAAATGCTTGAGAAAGCTGATGACTTTCCTGCCTGCTTTAACCCCCACCCCCCAATATACAGGTATTTTTTACTATTAAAAGCCTTTGAAAGGCTACACAGGCTTATTTCTGGGATTCTTTTTATTTCAGAGACTTAGAGTCAAATGCACAGCTTAATGTAAGCAAGTGGTTACTATTTTAATGAGTTACCAAGTTAGACACAGTTCAGAGGGGAGAGATGACCTTACTCTAGTCTGAATCTGAGACCAGAATTCCAGATTCCACTGAGATACATTTGTGGGACATGGCTTTTGCCTCTCTTTTTATGCACTGCATACCCATGCCAAATGAGTCAGAGTAGTTCACGTGTAGTATCTGGGGTTGTGTGGTGCTTTCCTTTAGTAGATTCTGGTATTCTGTCTTGCAGGCACATTTAAGTCTAAATGACTTCAAGATAAATGCGGGGGATCTTGCTAGAAAGTTTTTAAACGCCCACTTGGTTCTCTGGCAGTCTGCAGCCTAAATGATGTCAAACTTTTCACAAATCCCATTACAGTTGCTTCCTCATTGTGTGCCAAAATTTAGCGTGTGGGGGAAGGGTAGAGCATTCATTTTTTGGGAAAACCTGGATGTAACCAAATCAGGTGTGTTGGACATAGTTCATGGTTATTGCATGTTTTCATTTGGGGCACACCTTAATCATCACTCTTCTCAAGTTAAAGTACTGGATTTTTTAGGGTGAAAAACGAAAAGGTGAACAGCCAGTGGTGGGGGGGTAGACACAGAAAAGGATTGATTTTACACTTTTTGTGGCTTCAAAAATGGAACCATTGCCTTTTTTTTAATTTATTTTTTAGCTCTAAAATGGGTGGACCCATTTTTAATCTTTTTGTAACTTCCTATTTTGATGACTGGTGGGCAGACTAGGACTCAGGTCAGAGAAGTTGTATAAAAGAGTAAAGTTTGCAGGGGAGGAAGCAACCTAATTTCATTCCACCTTTGGTTAGGGCCAGGATCCATATGGACCCAAATAGGTACAGATATTAGGCAGGCTGTTTGCTGTTTTCCCAATTCAAGGAACATGCCCTACA